GATCAGTTCATTGCTTTGGGGAAAAGACGACGAATGAACAACATATTGGAGCAGCTCTCACAGCAGCCCAGCCTTTTCAATCCCCAGGACACGGGGCTGCTCTCCCTTCCATTCCATGCACTAGAAAGAAAAATAGAACAGTATTCTGCAACGTTTGTGATTTTGATCTCATTAAAAACCCATCAGTTTTCTCCTTTTACAAAGTTACTCATGTCTCATATAGCAATGACCCACTGGAGATGCCCTAGTGAAAATTACTTTATTTTCCTTCCCCCCTTTTTTTTTTTAAAAAAAAAAAAATAATCACTCCTTACAGAAATGAGGTTCTTTAAAATGCTACAATCCCAGGAATCCACCTAATTACAATGCTGTGAGCTCAACAAACTGCAGCCTGCAAGTTCTTAGGGACCCAATTCTTAAGGCAGAATCATTACTAATTTTTAAAATAACACCAGCGGCTCAAAAGTCATAAATCGCAATACCCACTGTATAACACTGCGACACACTTCAAGAACCCGAGAGAACCCATCTGAGTGATGAGGTATCAGTAAGAGAGAGGCAAGCAGAGCTCTGCAGATCAGTTCATTGCTTTGGGGAAAAGAAGACGAATGAACAACATATTGGAGCCATTTAGACATCTCATACAAAGCCTCAGATTTTATCATGTATCCCAAACCAAACACATTTGATCTGTGCTCCTGGATTTTTCTGGGAAAATGAAAACGCTCAAGTGTGACCGTTTTCTTCTCATCACCAGCAACTAAATTCAAGCTGCTCCCTCCATAAGCAGCCCATGGCTTGGTCAGATCTTTGTCCAGCACTCGATGCACTTGAAGACGTTTTGTGTTTTCCCAACGTGCAGCAGATGAAGTTGAAGAGCATCCACTGCTTGTCACCCTCCTGGACTGCAGGTTCACCCCAAAATGCTGATTTCACACCGAAGCAGAGGAGGAGGGTTCACAGGATCTCTCCTTCCCAGATGGCTGCAGAGGCTGCGGAAACTTTGGCAAAGTCGTAGGAAGAAGCCAGGAGGGAAACAGTAACGTTTCTGGCTTTCAGTCATTCAGGAGGTGAGCACGCAGCCGGCCTCCCACCGCACCTCCCCAGGACCCTCTGCCCCTGGTGTCTTCACACTGGTTATTCGTACCTTGCTAGCCAGAGCACACGCTGGGACAGTGGCAGTTAAACACCACGGATGTGTCATAAAACCAACAGCAAAGGCTGCTGGTCTGTGCATGTGCTGATCCTCACCGTGGTAAACCACCACCCCCCCTCCCATTTAAATCCAATTTTTCAGCAAGAATGTCCTACCTCCAAACAACAGAATTCAATGCCAAACCCCATGTCTTTGTCAGAAACATCTGGAGACATGTCACTTCCCCAAAACATCTGGAGATGTTGACCTTGTGCAGAGATACAGGGATGCACTCTTGAAACAAATGACCAGGGCAGATTCAGCTTTCATTTGCATCAGATTAATTCCTCTGTCACAATCAGCAGTGCTGCAGTTTGCTCGCACAGGTGGAATGAGGACCTGAGTGACACCAGCTATTTTTCAAACAAAAATGGAACCCGCAGGTGGCATTCAATTCGAGATGCAACCACGTGTCACCTCCCAGCACCTTCTGCACTTTCCTGGAGGCAGCCTAGGAGGTGATCAGAGCACAAAGTGCATCCAATGGAGAAGGAATTCTTTCCAGACAGGGAAACTGCCTTTTGAGGAACCATAATGAACACGACAGCCTGCCCAAGGACTCCAACTTCAAGCCACAGCCATGCAGGCACTGAAGGCCAAATTCCCACTGGCTCTCACACAGCCCATCGTCACGAGCCAACATATCAGCACACACAGTCAGGAGCCTAATGTGGCTCTAAAGAAATATGTTTTGTGAAGGGCTGCTGGGGAGTGAAATAAAGCTACTCGGAAAATATTCACTGCCAAAACTACGAAGTTGGAGAATACTTGGACAGATATCAGAAGCTGTCCACAGTATTACTAGGGGTGTTATTACTTTTGTAATTTCCCAAGCTTCAGTTTATTGGGGGTGGGAAGGGAAAGGGTCTTTATAGCAATCGGCACGCGTGCGTAAAACACCAATCCTTGTTACTGCCAGTACAGTGATACTTTCGGTAGGGCTCAGGCTGCTCGATCTACATCCGTCTGTGGTTCCATCTGCACGGATCAAGCCGGCACTAGATGTTTAAATTCCCTTGACACTTGTCCTTATGGAGGCTGAACATTTGACTGCAGAGCTGGGCACAAACACATGCCGGCCTCTATTTGCAACAGAGCCCAGAAATAAAAGGAACAGCCCCCTCTCGAATCCAACCCCAGACTCGCTAAACTGCAAAGATCACAAATACTTCCTCCCTTCTTACTCTGCCAGGTGGGATAAATTGCTCACACGCACCATTTATACAAGGTAAAACGCATCATAAATATTTTCATCCAAAAAGCACTAAAAACAGGAGGGAAAGGTTGAACAAAAGTTTTGCCCTCCTTTTCCGTATCAAATGACAGGAAATCTAGGTGATTTGGTTCGGCATCAGTGTCCGATTATCCAAATGGAAACCCAAATACATTGGCTCAGAGTTCAGAGAACCCCTTCGCAACATCAACACCCGGAGATGTCTTTGGTTTTGTTCTTTCGCTGGTATCTTATGTCCAAGGGATCAAACCCCCTTTCTCTAGACCCAAACAGCGCCCAGCGGGGAGTTTTGGCCATGTAATCTGCTGCCGTGAAAGTCTTGGAGCCTCCGCTCCTCGCGTAGTCCCGCGCCAGCTCCTGGAAGCGATCGTAGTTGATCCAGGTGCACCATTCCCCATTGATCTTGAACTAGAAAAGAACAGAAAAGAAATACGTTGCCATGCAGAGGAGCAATAAATAACACCAAATACCCAACTTAAGCTAAGACAAGCTGCTGGTTACTCAACTGTAGTTTCTTTTTTTTTTCTTTTTTTTTTTTTTTTAATTTTCTAGTCACATCAAGGTCTGAGGTAAAGCCATCTGGAAGCAAAACACATTCAGCCCCAGATCTGACCCATTTTAGTGCCACTTTGCCAGGATGAATACTTCCATGCTGCATCCTGAAGAGCTTTCATACTTGAAACACCTTGGTTTTGGGAGCTGGAAGAGCCCTAGAGGAGACCTGTAAATAATGGAGCAATACTTAGGTATTGCTCCATGAAAAGCACCTTTCCAAAGCCATCCCCGAGATCCCTGTTAGGAGTCTGTGATGCCAACTCAAGGACAGGCACAGCTTGGTGAAATGGGAGCAGTAAGGGAGCTGCACACTTGCAAGAAATAGATTTAAGTCATCTTTTAGAGGAGCAAGAGGGCTGTGTTTGGAACGAGGGAAAACTGTGACATGAATCCTCTTTCACTGCTTGAATTTCAAGAGTTGCTTATTTTGACACACCGAAGCTGCATTTGTCTAACAGCTCTGCTAATTTAGCAACAGCCTTGACTGACTCCTCAATTAGGACTTATCTGCGAATAAGAGCTTATTATGCACTTCATCCAAAAAAATTAAAAAAATAAAAAATAAAAAAGGAAAAGATACTGGTTCCTTCTTTTTTTTTTTCTAAAAACTTGATGGCTATGCGTTTAAACGGCACTTGACTTTCTGCCCAAGAGCTAAAAGCTTTTTTGGTTGGAAGAACTGCTGATACCTGCAAATTTTTTGAATCCAACGTTGCTAATGCTAATCTATTGCTGCCTATGTAATTACAGCAGCTCCTTGCGGGAGGAGCCCCCTGCGCCGGCGGGAGACGCGAGCCTGCGGAGTCATTACGAGGAGCAGGGAATGATCCTCGCCGGCAATAAGCTCCCCCAATGCTCATTCGTAAAGCACTAACGTGGAGGCCATGCTGAGACGAGGCAGTGCATCCACTCTGGTGTACCTGACTGTCGAGTAAAGCAATGTCAGGGGAGACAGCACTATGGCCTGTGGAGCAGGAATATCTCAGGGACAGGAGCCAGGCGCAGATTGAAACGTTCCTTTCGACACGTGTGGCGGTGCTGGATGACTCGGGCTGCTGCAACCTGCAAGACTCTGTCTCAGACCCTTCAGCACAAGGCCCATCTCTTACTAAGCCTCTACACAGCCCTGAACAGAAAGTTACAGTCACTGCCAGGGTGCTGAGATGACTGGCAAAAATTCCTGCAGAAGGCAGTGCTGCTCCAGGGCTATCAGAGGCCGTGGGCTCGTGTCTGTCCTTTCCACATGCTCCTCCTCAGCGTCTCCTCTGCTCCTCCTCCCACTTCCTTTCTGCCCCCAGGTCTTGCCTGGGAATGACATAAGACACAACCCATGATGACAGACACCAGGAAGACAAGTACACAAGTTCATAAGGTGACTCACAAGTACCTTCTCCAAAATTTGATTCCCTAACACTGACTAGTATACACTCACACAGTGCAAGGATGGATCCCTACATAGACTCAAGGTGCACTAAGAGAAATATGGCACACGAAGACCAAAGAAGAGCTCAAGACATGCACCAAACCGAACAGATGATCCAATAATCCTGTTTTCTTGAAAACCAAGAGAACACTTACCTTAAGAGGGGAGTGGAGCTTGCAACAAGTCTTAAACCCTGTGGTCAGCAATGGCTGAGTGAGATACTAGGTCCTAGGAGATATTGCTGCCCCCAGGGCTTATGGACTAGGTGAAACAAAGCTACGGATTGCAAACATTACCTGCAAGCCAAGCAGCAGCCTAGACAGCGGCTTCCCTGGACCTCTGGAGCCAGAAACAGCAGGATAACAGGGTATTTATACCAGGAGACACTAAGAACTACTCCGAGACAAACAAGCGCCGTTCAGATGCCTGTGCTAGCAAGGCAATCAACAGTGACTCAGTTCCTCTAGCGGTTGGTTTATTAGGGAACATGTGGGAGAAAAAACAATCTCAGGAACGGCCAAGCCTCGATGCTGGTGTTTCCATCACTCAGCACAGCTCTGACACCAGTGTAACACCCCACTGTCCAGCTCAGGGTAGCGTCTGTCTCGTACAGAGTGGAAGCTCTGAAATGAGTTTCAGGGACACAGAGATGTTTTCTCTTTCTAGAAGCCTTTTTCTTTTTCTTTACCTACCATACAATGGCTGTATTTCACTGCACTAGCAGGTCCTCCTTGGAGACAGTGGCCTTTGACAAGACTAATGGCAGAAGAGGAATGAAAGTCTCCCACGCCAGCCTCGCACAGGCCAAATTGGTCACAAATATCAGAGCCCTCTTCTTGCCTCTTCCCCACATTCCGCCACACTGCTGAGATGAAATCCTGTGTGTGCTTCCCTCGGGATAATAAAAATGTTCCCTTTGTGGAACATCAAGCAGCTGGGAAACATCTCCTGGCTCCATGGGTGGACTTGGTGCTGGAGGCAGCAGTCAAGCTGCCCTTTCAGGCTTGCCAAAATCGCTCACGTTGCTCTGGGAGCCTCCGAAAGTTGGGCCAGGTCCCTTAGCTGGAGTTTACGCTCTCCAGCCTCACAGGAACATGCAGCTCCTGACTCAACGGAGCTACTACTGCTGAGAGATGCCTGCTGCAGACTAATATAGCAAAACCGTCCCCAAAAGAACAACCAAAAGAACGCTGCCTCGATATGCCGCTGAAGCCGATTAAGTAATATTAAATATTTTTAGTGCTGCAATAGCACAACAATAAATACAAAGCAACGGGAACCATCCTTTAGGTGTGTCATGGAAACCAATTATTTCCACTGAGGAATAAAAGGCAGACAAACGTGGGGCGGGGGAGAGCGGCTTCCACGGCCCGCATAGATTTACAGATGGGATTTTAACAAGTTTATGATTATGTCAACAGATAATGAAAGATTTAAGACCTAAAACAGTTTCACAGCATCCATATAAAAGGCAAGTCAATGCTAAGCATCAATGTTATTTCAAAGACTAATGCAGCCGGGCTTTTTTATTGAATTTTTCACTACCTAGTTAAGTCTTTTACGGTGATAAATACATCAACAAAAGACCAATGGCTGAAACCCTCCCCTTGTTTTTTTTTTTTTAAAGTCAGCATCATAAAATAAGCCATAAAGCTCCACAGGCAGCTCCAAAGCCGATCTGAGTTGTGTGGAAGGACAAACTCACGTCCCGAGGGCCTCCTGGTGCCAGCAGGATCATGTGGGAGGCAGCCCATACCTTCCCATGCACGGGAAGGGGTGCCGGGGGCCCTGTTGGTGTGAGAGATGCGGGAAGAGAAGGGGAGAAGCAGCAGTGAGACCTGTTGTCCACAGAGATAGTCCCTCCAAGAGAGGGTTTTGCAAGGAAACCACAGACCCTGCAAGCATGATCGGGAGCCAGGACTAAAACAGGGACCTCAAGATAACAGAGTGTTAATACCACCTCCTTTTTCTCTTTTGATTGACAAGAGTGGATAGGAATTGCAAGTGACCTTAAACGATCTTTTCCTGTGAAGCCACAGATGTTTGAACACTGTGGAGAGAAGCTTCTTGCCTCAGAAAGCCACCAACACTAGCAAAGGACAGAAAGGCTGAGCGCCACAAAACGCACTTCTTCTCTTGCCAACATACTCGCCTAAATTATTTTTGGTGACAATTTATTAATATATTGGGGACAATAGAGTAGTGCTATGTGCTACCTTACCCCCAGATCAGTGTAACTACAGGGAGATAAACATGGTGTTTACATGAAGGGATAAAACCTGGAAGAGAAAAATACCAAAAAACGGAAGTCAGCCAAAAATCAATTAGCTGGTCTTAAGAAGGATAATGTTAAAAACCAGTCAAACAAACAAAAACAAACCCCTTTATTTCCAGGAAAGGAGTTCAGTTCTACGGGCAAAATAAAATATCCCAATAAAGTCCCTCTTCAATTACCTGAGGGTGCTCATTGCTTTTATGCGGAAGACTTGGCAGTTCAAGAAGTGGGTTCTTCCGCAGGCCTGCACCGTGTTTCATGGTAAATACGGCAGGTAGAATTACAGCCTGCACAGAACTCACCCGGCCGCAGGCAGGGAACGGCGCCTGCTTCCCGGCCGTGCCGAGCCGGCTCCAGCACCACTGGAGGGGCTGGCACCCCGCGCATCTGCCACCAGCTCTTCCAGTTATAACTCCCGGCATTTTGAAACCTGATGTTGGCAAATGCACATAGCCTGGGACACGGGGAGAGCATTTTTACAAAAGTCGAAAAGTCTCTGCAGCCCACCAGGAAGCCACCAGGAAAGCTGCTCCTTGGGGTTTGGTGACCCGGTGGCGCAGGATGCGCCGTGACGGGCTCTGCCAGAGCTGGGCTTTCCAAACACCGCTCAATCCCTCTATACACAAACAGGACTTTGTTATTTTTTTAAGGAAATAAAGCTTGCAAAAGAGCTTGCAAACCTTACAGTCCTTGCACCGTCCATGGATACAAAAACACACAGGGATAAACAAAATTAACCACGACTAAAGCCCATTTATGTTCTTTCTGGAGAGTACCACAAAAACTATCCTAAATTGTCTATAGGAAAGCAGCCAGGATATCCTCACTCTGGTTTACAGTGGCTTTCCTTGAAACCGCTTCACTGCTGAGCTTCAATAAAGTCATATGCTATGAAGAAAATAAAAAGCACCGCACACGAAGTGGTTTATATTAAGAGCATTGGGAGAAAAAGTATCCAAAGGGGAAATAATGCTCTGCTTAGCACCCCTGGCAGCAGCTGGAATGATTCAGCAGGGACAAAACAAGGCAAATGGCTTCAAAAGCTGCAGTGATACCTGTCTGAAAACACAAGCCTAGATCTGCCTCGACCAGTGGTTAAATTGGTCACCCCTAGCCATAGGGCCATATGGAGGGCCAGGCCTAGGGCACGTTTTC